GAAGGAAGGAAGGAAGGAAGGAAGGAAGGAAGGAAGGAAGGAAGGAAAGGACCAAAAGGCAATGAGAGGTGTTAGTGTGCCAGTGCTGTTGGAAAATGTTGGAAGTAGAATCCAGGACCAAGTAATATAAAAAATATTCCTAATGTATTTATTCCCTTCCTTCCCTCCCCTTACGCCGAAATGACAGCATGACAGATCAGAATGACTCTTGGCAATCATCTTTCTTTTTCTAGGCAACTACAACCTGGGAGGGCCCCCACCTTTGATCATCCAACAGATAAAGGAGTTTCTTAACATTGGGAGACCTTCCGAAAACCCTCGTGATGTTCATTTGGGTAAGATGATGATCCAAGAACCCGGACAGCTTCAGTTTACCTTCTTTGCATTTCACTGTCACAACCAGTTGGGGCAGAGATCGTTTTTTGTTTCTGTTTTTGTTTTTTTCATTTCCACAAATGCCGTTGCTTATTCACCAATACACTGTAAAAACTCTCGGGTATCTTTTTCTCCTGTGATCTTTAACTGGGCAAAATTAGGCATCAGTCAGGAAAGTTTTTTTTTGATGTGTCATTATCCTCCTAACTGATGGTGAGCAGGTGAAGAGGAAAAATGCAAACTTGAGTTAGCTTTGGTTGCTTTTGTTCTGTTGTTTGAGAAAAGAATCTTTTAGATTTGCTACCTTAAATATATTATGAGAGGAGTCGGCAGTCCTTTGAAGTATTAAGCACCAATTTACGCAAGGATCTCAACTTGTCTGGGAAGGGAGGGAAGGAGGGAAAGAAGGAGAGAGGGAGAGCAAGAGAGAAGGGAAAAGGGAGGGAGAAGGACAGTGAAAGGGTAGGAGAGAGAGAGAAAGAGAGAAGGGGAAAGGCAAAGGGAGGGAGAGAGGGAGGGAGGGAAAGAAAGAGGGAAGGAGGGAAAGGGAGAGCAAGAGAGAAGGGAAAAGGGGGGACAGGGAAAGGGAGGGAGAGGGAAGGGACAGGGAGGGACAGGAAAAGGAAGGGGGGGAAGGAGAGAAGGAGGGGGAGAGCAAAGGAGAAGGGGAAGGGGAATGGAAGGGAGAGGGAGAGGGACAAGTCGCAAGGAGGAGGGAGGGAAAGCAAAATAGAGAGGGAGAGCAAGAGAAAAGGAGAAAGGGAGGCAGAGGAAGGAAGGAAGGAAGGAAAGAAGGAAGAGGCAGACAAAGGACCGAAGAGCAATAAAAGGCATTAGCGTGCCGAAGTGTTTTTGGAAAATATTGGAAAGAGAAGCCAGGATGGATTTTTTTTTAAATTTTTCCATAATCTATTTATTCCATTCCTTCCCTCCCCTTACCCACAGATGACAGTATGCCATAATAAATGCAACAAATGCAATAATCCTTTCTTTTTCTAGACCTGTACAACGT